GGGTTTAGGGCATAACACTTACAAATAGCCGCTCCCAATAAAAATTAGAAGGCAATTTGTAGTAAAAGAAGTGAAATGAATAAAATACATAAGAACAAAGTAGGAGGAATTTGTTATAATCTCCATGCCAAGCTCACCGTATAAAATATATACATACCTATATCTATCCAGTTGCAAATCAATAGGCCAAGTGGTGTGACCAAACTGAAATATCTATAAAAAAAAAAAAAAAAAAAATTATGAGCCTTAAAATTCTCAAGTATCCAGCGATACGGTATGTCTGAAGAAATGAGGGAGCAACTTGAAGATTTTCCGAAAAGAACCTGGATATTTTCACACGGAAGAACGAAGATATGGGTCGGATTGACCTGCAGTGTCATGTTATGCTATGAAGATCGACCCTTGTTTAAAGTTAGACCAAAATTTTAGGTTGAGGAAATTGTATTAGATCATTTACTATCTTATTATTTAAAATTTTGTTAAGATTTTCAAGTAGTACTTACCATTTGTTGGCATTGTGCTTTCTTGGCATGTTTACCGGTAAAGGGATAAAAGGCTTAAAAGAACAGCTGCATAAATTGCCGAGTAGGTCGAGGCTTAGTTAATGCATTTGCTAATATAGAACACTCCGAAAGAGTTACGAGCAATGTGATCCCATATGAAGTGATAGTCAATAAGAATATATATTCAATTTTTAATGGAACGCCGAATTTACTAGGAGGTACGTGATCACACTCTTATTACTTTGACACGACTTGCAAAAAGGGTGGTTCTGTATAGTGCAAAAAGAGCTTTAGATGAATGACTTTTCATAGAGTTGTTCAAATGGAATGCTAGAATCTTTGTAAGTGGGTTGGAGACCACGTTAACATCACTTGGGAGGCATTTCCAGTCAATTCGACAATTATCCTTATGGATATGAGAAAATTACACTGTTGGGGTATCTCTTGTATTTTACCCACTCTGTCCTTCAGATAAATGATGTGGGGCTAAGCTTTCATTCCAGAAATGCGAGTCTATGCATCATAGATGGAGCCAGCAGAGAGACCATAGGGATTATCATATCAAAAAAGGAGGCCAAAATAGCATGCAAAATAAGCTGATCTTGATGCTTCTAGAGAATTAGTATATGCCAGAATTGGAGATAATCAAGAGAGAACTAAAGTGAATGTTACATTATATGCAGTTGTTGGAAGTCAGCTAACGGTGACACTAACGATAACGAGATTGGAAAAAATGAACAAAGTTGAGATGGTGATAATTGGTTCACTTTGATCAATCGAATAGACAGACATTTGGAAAGTGAAGAACATTGCACAGAAAATAAAAGATTAACTCGTTTGAGTATTATGGCTTTGATACCATAACAAATTAAGAAATTGGAAAAAACTTGATTATTCATTGCTTCTATCACATCTACATTTTAGAGTCCTACGAAACAAACATTACAAAGCAAGGAGCGAAAGGAATACAGTACAATTTGTATAATATAACTTCTATGCTCGAATCTAATTCATTGATTTGAGGGTATAAGATACAAATGGATCATGGTTTATATGATTGATCTACTTTTTTGAATAGATAAGTGTAAGATAATGTAACTTAGCATAATATTCGAGTATAAACTCGACCAAATCGATAAGATTAATTCTACTTGTATCGAAGTGGTTGACAATCACTCACAGTGGTGGACCCCACTGTGATTATAAAAAAAAATTATCCATCCACCCACCCCATGTGTGAGAGATTGTCAACAAACTCACCCCCTCCTCCTGTACACCTAGCATCTCCCAATCGATAATATGACAAGCGAAGAATGCAAAAAAGAAAAAAAGAGAAAGAGAAAGAATAAATAACTATATATTATTATAAAATGGACTACTAGAAAAATGTCCTTTCTATTTGAATGTCGTTATTTTATTTTTTCTTATGGAAACTCACTTTTAAGCGTCTCTCTGTCCCTTCAGTTTTCCTCTCTCCTCCTCACACACATTCTCTCTCCTCTCTCATCGGAAGGGAAAAAACCCTAAAAGGCCTGTTTACCCCCAGGAGTAAGTTCTCTCTCATAGACGTACAATATTTATATTGGCTTCTCTTTCTCCTCTTCTCTTTCTTCCAGTATTCTAGTATTTATGCCCCCTTTAGTTCTAATTTTTAATTTTTTTTGCATTGATTTATATTGTAATTTAATGCTTTAGTTATGATGCTTGTGGATCTGTTTTATTTTCATCATTTTGTTTCAGATCTATGTTAGAAATGGTGAAGATTGGATTTTTATATTGGAATCTTCATTTCTGAGTATTTTAAAATAAAAGTATTTATTTTGATTATTTTCCCTGGTTTTTCGTGATTGTCGTGGATCTGTTTGATTATCCGTTGA